GGTGAAACCCTGGCCCAGGTTGCCCAGAGAAGCTGTGGCTGCCCCCTCCCTGGCAGGGTTCAAGGCCAGGTTGGATGGAGCTCTGAGCAGCCTGGTGGAAGGGGTCCCTGCTCGTGGCAGAGGGGGTGGAACCAGATGATCTTTAAGGTCCCTTCCAACCCAAACCATTCTATGATTTTATGATCTTTAGAGAAGCACTGAATACATCAGCAAGACTTGAGAAGACAGCAAGAGGCTAAGCAGAGCTGTGACATTCATTCCTCCATCCCCACCCAGAGTCTTGTTTCCACTGGATCATAGAGGCACTATTTCCCTTACTTTTGTTTTTTATTTGTTTGTTAGCAAGAACATCCTCATGAATTAACATATTTGGATGAGAAAGGCAAAGGCACTGTAACAATATGCTATGAAGTTGCTCTCCTTAAATTCTACTGCACATTTAGTTTGACACTTTTCCTTGCTTAACAAGGAGCTATTCTTCAGCTGTTAAAATAATGCACCAAGCACTAGGGAGCCAGTTTAAGACTTGGAAGGGCACTTTCAATAGCTATGCAAGAGGTCCCAAACGCACTTACTAGTGAGAAGTACCAAGATCTGCTTAAATAGACCTGTCATGAAATGAAATGCTCGAGAGCCATGGGAGCAGAGAGGAGCATCACAGAGAACTTGGAAAGAAGATTCTTCCTCTCCGAGCAACCTTAACCTCAGTACTCCCGAGAGCAGGGACTAGTCTGTAACCAAAAACTGATTCAGACCTTTGGGGTGACTAAAGCCAGGAACTGGGGATACCCAAAGAGATCCCATTTTCTCCCAACAGGCTGTTCTCCACTGCAATAATGAGAAGCCATTGAAATCCATTATCTTTCACATTAACACTACACCCCCAGAAAAAGATGATCCCTCACCACTAACAATGCAAATCGTGCGTCTAATGCTGTCGGACAGATGGAAACGTGACTTTGAGACAAGTAACATGGCTGATTTTCTGGATGGGACACTGAGCCATAACTCACTCATCTGGGTTTCATTCTTGACTTTGACCCCTGGCTACTCTCCCATCAAGTCTTCCTCCCTTCATTTCTTAAAAAGAAAAAACCAAAAGATATTTCATTTCTTCTACTCTCTCTCCTCTATTTAGAGTGACAAATCTTTGTGAAAAAGTCATTGTTAACTACAGAGCTCATGCATCATGGTGCTGTTTTCTTGTCTGGAGTCCACAGAAACTACACGAAGGCAAAAGATGTCAGAGAAAGGAAAGCCAAGGGCAAACTTCTGTATTGAGCCAGGTAGCACCATCTTCCTCTTAGCAGCAGGGCTGGTTACCCAGCTACTAGAAAAAGCTGCTCTGGAAAGAGACAAGAGTTAGCAACAGAGCTAGCATAAGATAACAGTATCTCCTTTACTCAAAAGAAGATATATTTGCACCGCTAAACTATTTAGGTCTAATTACAGTATTGGGTTCTTTGACAGCACTCTCACCATGCTAAATTAGCTTATTACACTATGGCCGATACTTGAATGCTTGGCAAAGTGTCCCACATTTTCATTTCTGTACTGAGCTGATCTGTGCAGAGACTTGCAATTCCCACAAGAGTCACTCATCCAGCACTGCACACAGTTAAAGTATTCACCAGCCACTTAACCAGCCATCCAAACTGACGCTTATGTGAAGGGTGGGTGAGACACTCTTGCCATAGGAACAATAATTTCAGTGTTTGCCAAGATTTTGTTTACCTTTAAAAATCCAGCCCAAATTGCTCTAACCTGATCTTGTTGAAAGACATGGTAGTTTTGACATTTGCTTTTGTTTTAGAAAGAACTGGACCCATCTTTATCGCCCAAGGAAAATACCACAATAGCTGCCTTGGCAGATTATAACATTGGTAGTCCTGAACTTTGAAAATCAGAGAGAAAAATGTCTGAGACTGCAAGCTCAAAGACAACCAGATATCGCCAGATGCCATGCTGGCCTAAAAATAATCAAGTGGTCTTGAAACAGATCTGTTCCTTCCAAGATCTTATTATGGCTTCTCATTATATCCAAAGGAGGGAGAGCATGAATGATTTAACTAGAGAATGATGGACAGTCACTGTTAATGAACATTAAGGAAGAAATTAGTTAAATTTCTCAATGATTTTTCTCTCAAGACTGCACAATACCGTGGGGTCCTCCCAGCTTTAAAGAAACATTTTAAGACTAAATGTGGCCAGTTTGGCCTAACTGATCATTTGCAGTAGGATTCAACTGTGCAGGAGGTCTATGAGGCCACCACAGCACTGGGTAAGAGATAAGGATGCCTCTCAGGAAGAGTTTCTAGCTCTGCTCTGTGTACAGGCCTTAGGAAATCAAATGGCAAAACAACAAGGAACATTATCCCATGCCTAGAAGGAAGGCTTAGACTACAGCTTCTCAGGAAGATCAGGCATCTCAAACTGCAAAAGGAGACTTATTTGCCTCTCTGCTTGCCATAGGAGAAGTACCTGCCAGTCCAGAACCCTTTGCACAACACCCAGCACCAGTGAAGTCACACGTTCTCTGCACTATTCCTCCTCAAGCCTGAGCAGCTAGTGAAGAAGCAATCACCATCACCCCTTCCAGGATCTGGCTACTCAGGGAAGTACCCGATGTCCTTCTAGACCACGCAGACTTCCTGTAGTCTAAGCCTGAAGACGAAAGTCACAGGAGACAGGAATAAAAGACAGCCAAGCTTTGCCTGGAAGAGCTTCATACCTGATAGGGATCATCCCTATCATGATGAGTGGGAAGATCATCTTCATGTAGGGCAACGGTGACATGCCGAAACCACAAAGGATGAGGAGCTGCAGGACCTGCAAGCCTGTGAAATAGTGGATCTTCCTCTGGGGCACTCTGCGGATGTAATGTGTCGGAGGATAAGCGGTCTGGGAAGAGAAGAATTACACATTAGAGGCAGTGACCTGGACTTGTGACTGCAAAACACGGCATGGGCTTTTCAACACCAGAGTTTTAAGGAAATCGTCAGTTTACACACAGCGTGCGTCACCATCAGAGTCCTTAACAGGTACAGCAGCTGAACGCAGGATTTGTAGGGTTAAAGAAAGTGCCTTAAACCACAGCACTGGCAGCAACACACAGAAGATGACTGGGCACTAGAAACCTGGGAAAGAAAAGACACGCCACACAGCTAGGATTGCCTTTGGGAGCATCTGCAGTGCAATAAAATATCTTGATAAGTACAGTAATGAGATTCCCCCGAGGAGGATTATCAGGGCTTTGCAGCAACACTCAAAGAGCCTGTGGGGGTGTGCAGGGGGGTGATGGTGAGCAGATGCATTCAGGTGTTGTTACTGCTGGATGGTTTCTCCACCTGAAACTCAGCTCCTTGTTTTGTCCTCTGCTGATCAGACTCCATGCTTGCCCCTGGTGGTCCCATTTCTTGGCTGAACCCCGGCAGGGCAAGACCAGGAGATGAAACTGGGGAGGTGTGGGAAGAGACTGTACTCAGACTGCAGTGAGTTTCTCAACTCAAACGATTCATTTTCAAAAAAGAAGAGAGAAAAAAGTGACATTAATAGGCTAAATATCACTCATGGTTTCTTTTGACAGTTCCTCGCTCATGTCTGAGCACAGGCTTTGACTCACTGTCTATACATCAATGAAGAGTATGAGCAACTGTCTGCTGGCACCAATACAGACTCAATGGATTTCAGATTGTGCCATGACTCATTAAAAAGCTTCCAGAAAAGGGAGATCTCCATATTTGAGAACGCTTCTTAATTTTCCAAACCAAAGCTTGGAAAATTCCACACATAATTTGTACTAAAGCTAGAAGTAATATTCCACATACATCAGTAACTATTTGATCCTCATTCAAAAATTGACATGACAAATGTAATCTTTACCCGGATTTCACAGTTTTAATCTCTGGGATGTAATATTAGAGATCAAGATAGATTAGCAGAGATGCAGAGACAAACGTTGGGCTTATTAAGCCCTTGACCCTCGTTACATAAGAGAAGGTGAGCTGGAGACTCGTTATTGCTCCCAGGTACCACCTACACTGCAAGCAAACACCTTCTTAGCACTCGTAGCAGAGATGGCTTGAAAACAGATCTTCCAGATTTGTTTTCATCCCACATCAGAAGATTTTCAATAATGCAGGCAATTTCACTTTGAGTTTAAAATCCTGTCCCATGGTATTTCGCGTAATTCAAAATGAAAGTGTAAAATATAGCAAAAAATTACCTGTTCTGAAGCTTTGTTGGGGATATCAAAGGTCACCATTTACTGACATTATGCATGTGCTTTCTAATTTTTTTTATGTTAGAAATGCACGTACTCTGCAGCTGACAGACATCACAGTGGGTTTTTAAAAAACTTACAAGCACCCTACATTCAGTAAGCAACAGTTGGTGCAATTCTTTTTTTTGACAAAGGCATTGTTTGATTGTATTTTTTGTTTGCACTCTACACAGTTTAGGGGGCATCTTCACTTGTAGCAGCTACGCTGGCTCCATCCACGCACTCGTCTTTTTTTTTTTCCTCTGGAGAGCTGGTCTCTAGAACAACACTTAGCACACTGAAAAGAGCAGGATTATATCCGAGACATTGCTCTGAACAAGAAAGCAAAAATGCTTTTATGGCAGGGAAATGCAGAAAGCAATTTATGCAGAATTTGAAAGACAGATGAGATACAGTGCAATTCTGCGAACAATTCAGCTACCACCTTTTTTTAACCCAACAATAATCCTGCCACTTTTGTTGTTTGACACCGCATTATTCTCCCACTCATTCGTCCACCTTAATGGAAAAGCCTTCTCTTGCTCACATCTCAGTAGCAGACAGGCTAAACTAGGGACCATCGAGTTTCCCTCCCTCTTTGCAGAAAAATGCCAAAGGGATGCACAAAGTGGTGGGTGAAGCTGGAAATCAGCCTCCTGAGAACGTGAGTATTGGAGGTGACTCCATTCCCAACACCAGCGGCTTTCCACGTTAGCTCCCGGCACAGTTTGGCACCAAGGTTGTAAGCACAATTTCCTTCTGCGTTCCACCAGACTCCCGCCCCGGTCTGCATACCTGTTCTTTGAGCAGGAGAGCCACCCTTTCAAAGAGCTGGTTCCCATCAATGGAGGTCAATGCGATGTAGAGGAAGAGGCCATAGAGGACCGGTTTTGGGATCCACTGGAGAGGGAAAGGGAGGAGCAGCAGCGAGAGGCCAACCAAGAAGTTTGCCACTAGACTTGTCAGCCGGGTCTCCTTCACACTTACAATCCTGAAAGCAAGAAAACAGGGATTAGGGTAGTAGGGTAATATCCCAGTATCCGCCTATGATTATTGCTGGGGCTCACTACTCTGCGTAGGTGCAGGACACGTGCCGCTCGGGAAAGGGAAACTCATCTCCACTGCACTGAGATCAGCACTTCTGGCCGCGTGCTGACACCGAGAAGGCAGAGCTCGGCTGGATCCAGGCCAGGCACTTAATCCACAACTCAAACAGAGGAGCTGGAAAAATGCCAAATTCCCCTTCTGCAAAGCTCCACAGATCCTATCCTGAACTAAATTGCCCTCTAAACTAATTTTGTTTAGCACATTGCAAAAGAAAAAAAAAAAAAACCAAGCAGGCAAGAATCCTCTTTCTGGGCAGTAATCCTTTCCTTGATTTACCCAGTGCATATGCAATTGGCTTTTATCCAAAAGAAAACTCATTGACTTCTACAGGAACTAATGAACCTCTTGTAAAAAAAAGGTCTGCGTTTTCTTGACTGCGAGTCAGCATTTTTGATGTATATGAGGATCTCCTTGTTTACATGGAAGTGAAAGCTGAGAACACTATACAGGGAGCTAGAAATTTAATTCTGCTGTGGATAATAGCTCTTACACAGCAAATTGCCTATTACCATGCAAAACATGTAATTAATTAATGCAAATTTTCCAGAGCTGACAGACCACAGATTGATTTTTGTTTTTATGGGAGAAAAAAAGACTGACAGGAAAGCACACAGCAACTTTCAGAGCCGGTTTGCAGGAGTGAGGGGAGGTTGCTTTGTTTTCCCTTCAACTAAACCTGTGAGCACCTCCTAGTCTGAAGGCAAAAGTTACCAGAAACAATAGGAAAGAAATGCCTCACCTTTCAAGACTATTTATAAACAGAGAAAAGGGGGATTCTTAACGTAACTTTTTTTGAGAAGTTAAATCTACCAATTCAGTGGATAAGCTAGTGAGTCAGTCCCCCTGTTATCAGGAGAAATTCTTGTCCATAGGCTGTTCTGTTGTCATCTAGTGGCCTCATTCCCTGGATGCGAGACCTCATATTCCAAATTAACCCTGTACACAAAATACTCTGAGGATTAACAGAAGAGTCAGCCATGAGATCTATCAAAACACTTTTCCCTCTTTTACATATGCACTGCTAAGACTTTGTAATCTCTTCTGTCCTGAAGAAGATTGCTTCCCAGTGAATTCTTTCGATATTAAGTTTTTTAAAATCTTGCTTAATAAGCAAGGTCAGGTTGAACGTCAAATCTGTTTACACATTCAAGAGCTGTGAGGATGAAGGAGCCTTCCATGCCTGTATTTAGAGAGAGGGAAAGGGTAACAGCCTAAGGATTTGCATAACGTGGCAGAACTCACATGAGTGGTCATGAGACCCAAAGAACAACAGATACCACAAACAGTACACAAAGTCCTGAGGACAACACTTGAATTCCTTGGTGAATAATGGGGCAGGTCGTACGTATTATCCAGAACCACCAGAGAGTATGCACGGAAAAGACAAAGGAGGCATTAACCTCTTAGTAACCTCCCCTCCTCTGGCTAGGTCTAAACAGCAGAAACTACAGCTTTCCTCCTTCCAAACAGATTTTGTACAGATCCTCTTGCAAGTCTCCTATGTCAGGAGGTCCCTGCCAATGCCTAGAGAAGCCAATGGAGAGTAGAGCACTGCTTTCCACTGTTACCTGCAGACTGCTCTTGCCAGCTCTGGAAGAAGTGGGACATCACCTAGGTGGATACACTTTGGCAGGTTCTTCACTGTCTGTGGGTCTGGTTCACCACAGAACAGAAGTCTCGGACACAACAGAGCCAAGCAGCTTGAAGTGCAGGTCTAGTTCAGAGTAATTCGATAAACCAGTAAGGAGTGGTCAGACCACTTCGAGCCTCTCGAGTGGCCCAGTAAAGCCGAGCAAAAGGATGCGTTAACTGATTTAGCTGCATCCAGGTACAGCAAGAGCTCCCCTGGCTTCAGCATTGGGCAAGCTACAGCGGATGCGCTTCTGCTGTTTCAAAGATCTAACCCACTGCTGGGGATACTCGTGACCTGCAAGCATCGGTCGGAGCACACACAAGTCTGCTAGGCTCCTTGCAAGTAAGGTCATGCAAACCAAAGGGCTCAGGATCAAAATGAGATATGAAGCCACCACTTTCCAATCAGATGCAAGTCTGCAAGTGCAAGAACAGCTCAGAGTAGCAGTTCTTTGGTAATGGAATTTTGAAATTCATGAAAATTTCTGCCTGCCATCTCTTGAGGATGCGGCAATCACAGCAGAGTGTTTGATCACATGCAAGGTGTGCTGCAACTACTACTGTCAGCTCCTGCTAATGCCACTTAAAGTAGTCCAGAATTTCTTATCAGAACGTTGTTAAAATTGTTCGTAATTGACCGAACTTAGTATCTTCAAAGCTGAAGTTCTCAGCCTCTTATTGGTTTTCTGCCAATTCTAGCACCTTTCTTCTTTCCAGGGTAAGGACATCAAGAACAGTCACATTAAGTCAATGGAAGAAATCCAGTAATTTGCGTGTGTTCAAAATCTGGTTTGCCCCTTGAGGAAACAGCTCCAGAAAGCCTCTACTGCAATGGAAATGAAATAATTAACGTAGATTAAAGAGCATAATCCAGGCTCATTTTCCCAGAATCCTTTAAATACAGCTAGCACAGGATTAGCCATTCCCTGCCTCCTCCGTACGAGTAATGAGAGCCTATTTGCAGATTGCCACATAAAACTCAAGTGGTTACTCTACAGGGGAGAAGAAAATTTTGCTTTCATTGTGACAGATCTTTATTCTTGTTTATATCATCATCCTCACTGAGAGCTTTGATTTTTGTCGAGGAAAGGAGTCTGCCAAGGGAGCCAGCACTGAAAGAACTCCTGATTTTCTAATTGAGCTTCAGTACATTTCTTTTTCAGCAGAGCTGGCTAAGAGGAGAAAAAAAAAAGAAAAAAGACAACATTGCTCAGAGCCTCCTGTTTATAGCTCAAAGCTTTGCAGAGAACAAAAAGCTTCAGTCTCAAAGGGAGTTCAGATAACTAGGAAATCCTCGTTCCCTTCTTCGCTCCCAATATCCAGTTCACAGCACTCTTTTACCTGCTGATTTGACTCCAGGAGAGGAGAGGAAGAGCTGTGCCACGAGGGAACACGCTTAGTGAGATCAGGGCATCCCTCAAGGCCTTTTTAGGGTAATCACTGGAGCCATATCTAGGTTAGCGAGGCCGCAGAGGGCTCTCCCATGCTCTTTTAGGGCAGCTGGGTGAAGGATCAGGGGACAGGGGCAGAAGGTAGCCATTAATTCAGGCAGGGAACTGGACTTTGTCAAGGAGAAGCCAGAGGGTAGAATAAAGACAGCAGGTAGCAAAACAGGAAAAAAGCCACCAGGTATTAAAATTGACAACAGAAGACAGAGGAGGAAGGCTTGGCACATGTGTTTCAACATGTAACTTCTGCATCTCACAAAGAAAGGGAAAGCAGAGGTATCCCAGAGCAGATCATTGAAATCAGGAGCAAAGGCACGGATTAAAAACCCTACAGAAATCAAATTACAAAGTTGCTTTTTTTTTTGAAATAGGGTTCAGCAAGACAGATGTAGTTGTGGGAACAACCAATACCAACGCGTACTAACAGGAATACGAGCCCAAGGGA